TGCAATATAAAAACCTGGCTAGTGTATGATACGGCATATTCTGGACACTATTCCTCGAAATATAAATAATTTAAAAATTATGGATGAAATGTAAGCAGACTTGAATGTGTTTGCAAATTTACTTTGCACTTCCGCTGAGAGATAGTAGGGAAAGCTGAAAATGAATTTTCTTGAAGATCTCTAAGGCATGAATAGTTGCAACCCCTATAGAGTTCGGTCAGGAAATCTTAGTGAGATAGAATGGGCTAGAAAACTTCTAAGTTGTTGAAGTACGATTCTATTTGGTGGTTCTCCAAAACAGTTTCAATTTTGTTTGCTTCATCTTTCCAATTTCCAAAGTGAAACCAAAGTGAAAACCATGTTAGGCTTAGGCAATGTTTGCTCTGTGTATGCATGCCATCTGAGGTATCAGTATTCATGCCCGAACTCACAATTACTCTACTGTGTGTCGCCGCCCTATACTCCACCAGCTGTTACGCTGATCGTTCGTTGAGTATACGAATACAAATGGCCATGTGTTTTATGGAGCATTACTCTCGGCAACAAGCATAACTGTCAGTTCTGTCGGTCTAATTCCTATTATACTTAGGCGTCTCTAAATTATGTTCAAAGTTCCATATTTTTTCATGTCAAGTGGAACAGTCTTTGCTTGAAGGATTCCCAACTTCTGCCAGTAATGGTTGCATTTTCTTTATGGGTTTTAGATAGCATCTGGAATTCTGAGAAAGCTCCAACTATCTCGCATAATTATAATAGCGTTCTTTCTGTTAGATGTTTTAATATATAAGCTATGAGAATTTATTCAATTTTGAATGAGAATAACTATTTCTGTAAAAATTGCTAATCCATGAGGTTTTTAAACTTCCTTGTTACCATACTCTCCTACCCATAGTAGCACATGTTCAACTTAGGAAGTGCTAGAAGTGAGACATATTGCTAATCATCTGTTTTCGTTTTCAACAACAGAAGGAGCACCAACGATTTAACTCAAAAAGAAACTCTTCTTACTTTTGCTTTTTCTTCTAACTTTATAGTTGTCATTTATGATTTCTCAATCATAAATTGTGTGCTTTTTACTCTCGCTGGCTTATTTAGAGTAGTGCTAAAGCATTTTTTCCAATTTCAAAACATATCAAAGCTTCCGAATATGATGCCTAATGTGTTTGAATTAACTGATGTTCATTGGAACTATGTGTTATCCATCTTCAGTAAAATGTGTGATAAACAATAGCAGGCGGCAAGTAAACAAGTCCTAATAAATCGCAGCATTGCAATGATCCCATTGTTTCATTATACATTTTCATTGATACCAAATGTTATCGAGTCATGGAAGGACGGTGGATAATTTGTGCTTTAGAAGATCTTTAACGTTGAAAGGAAATCCTCATACAACGGCTAAATTTGCCTCCAAATGACTGCGCCAACTGCGATTATGCGTGTACCTTAAAACGATGTTCACAGGTTACTTCCTTATCTAAGAGACTTTGTTTCATAGGTTTTTTCGTGTTATTACCTTTGGTGGTTATTATTTCCGTCTGGAACTAACATTAGCTTCGTGAAGAGTCGCGCCTTTCGATCCGTAATTGTTGACGTTGCCACGTGATTGGCTCAATTGGTGCGGGAGGCGGGATAAAGCAGCCAAACCCAGCGATACGGTAGACAACATCAGTCACGACGTCTGCCTACTCATGGTATAGGCCTCTTCACATTCTCTATAAGATGCTTGGGTCAAACAGATTTCTCGGTGCATTAGTGTAGTGCTTTAATGAAACATTGAAAGAAAGAGTTATTTTAATGAACTCCAAAACTATCATCCGAGTTGGAATTTGAAAGTTTCTTGTTAGTATTTCTTTCCTTGCTAAAGCGCATCTACGTACGAAGAACC